GTTTCCCCCTTTGTCAGTCTGTCTGTATATACCTTGTTCTTTTGTCTGTGTGAGTTGCTGTTCTGTTAGCATTATTTGGAGGCATTAACTCTAAGTTTTCTTCATTCTGGACTTGTACTATCTCTCTCTCTCTCTCTCTCCATCTCTCTCTCTCTCTCGTCTCTCTCTCCTCTCTCTCTCTCTCTCTCTCTTCTCTCTCTCTCTCTCTCTCTCTCTCTCTCTCTCTCTCTCCCTCTCCGCCTCTCTCTCTCTCCCTCTCTACGCCTCTCTCTCTCTCCCTCTCCCCCCTCTCTCCTCTCTCTCTCCCCCCCTCTCTCTCTCTCTCTCCCCTCTCTCTCTCACCTCATTTTGAGAGCATATTCCTCGGCACAAATGCTGTTCTTTTCTTCCCATTCTGCTTGAATAGCTGGAAGGTTTTGCATGAAAGCCGTTTTATAGTCATATGACCGGGTCGCGGGGACGCTAAGCCCCGAAATCATCTCAAGATAACCTCAAGATGACATGTTATCCGGAGATTTGTCTGTATGTCTCTAAGCTGGCAAGTCTCTCCTGCATATCCAAAGAAAGTGATCTCTTCGCAGTCTTTTGTTTTTATTCACTTCTTCCACACGAAAAGTGGGAACTACTTGTTTAAATATAATTCTGTTCAAATACACAAAGACATCCCATTAAGGTGACGTATCAGTGTTCATCATGCCGTGGTGTAGTGGTCTACGGCGCTTGCTTGGGAGTGCCTACAGTATAGGTTCGAATCCTTCTCACGGCTCCTTCTGAATGTCCTCGTGTAATTATGTGTTTTATCTTTTAAGGCTTTTTTAATTACCCGCAAATTTCTCTCTTTTACAATCATATTGTCGGCCTCCCACCAGCTCCCAGCCTCCTCACACGTCTCAAGTTCAAGTTCAAGTATGTTTATTGAGATAAGCAAGAAATACATCTCAAAGGGATAGAGTAGCTTAGGCTATTTCTACCTCCCAACACACGCCTCTACCCCTACCACCCATGAAACGTAATGCGTTTATATAAAGAAAGCAGATAGATTTATATTACGAACAAGCCTAAATGATCCCCAGGCATATATGCAACTGAAAACAGATAGATTTATATTATATACAGATTAGCCCTCGTCACAAAGACCGCATCAAGATCGCCTCCTTCTTCTAACCCAGGGTCTACCTTTATAGCATTCCTCTTTTTCTCTTATACGTGGCAGCAAAGCCGTGACACCACCCTGGAAACACAAACCGAAACTGTCTCTATTTTCCGCGTGTTATAACTTGTAATAAAGTTGTTATATCTTGGCTAAACGTGTTTATGACGTATTAGAACGTTGTTACAACTTGCTATATTGGTTGTTATAACTGGTTAGGAGGTGTTAAAACGTGTTCGAACGTTGTATCAACGTCGCAGTCTCGGTGTGTGTTTGGCGGGCAAAGGGCCGTGTACACGTGTACGATGTTCGTGGCGTGCCGGCCTCCTGTCCCTCCTCCCCTCTACAGCCAGGGGGACACTTACTCGTACCTCGGCAACCGTATTAAAGGAACAGTCGCAGAGCAGGGGAGGCCAGGCACCAGTGCCGCGAGTATAGTGCTTAAAGCCGCGTTGTTTGACTCTTTCCCCTGACCGCCCCTTTGGCTCCGGCCCGCGTTCCCTGCCTGAAGGGGACCTCGATATAAGCCTCAGGCATATATATACACAGGCTTCTTGTCCCCGACAATGAGAATTATAAGATAACGTTCATAAGATAAATCAAATGATATTTTTCTCATCCATTTCTCATTTGTTATCATCTATTTTTTTTTTATATCAAGGATCACTGATTATATGATGACAAAGTTAACGAAACATTATAATTATCACTCGTTAAATGACTGAAATATAAATTAGGAAAAGAAATGGAAAGAAAACGAACCCATATATAAATATATTGATCCCGTCTGGCAACCCATACTGTGGGTGAGTTACCGTGAGTCACACAATGAGTACCGTGAGTCATGACGAGCACCGTAACACACACACACACAAGTACCATGACTCACACGACAAGTGATGTGACTCACACTAGTACCGTGAATCACAAAACTAGAGTACCTTGACTAGTACAACGAGTACCGTGACACATGCAAGTACTGTGAGTTACTCAGCAAGTACAGTGACTTATAAGACAAGTACCGTGACTCATATAAGTACTGTGACTCACGCAACAAGTACAGTGATTCATACGACAAGTACCGTGACTCACAGAACAAGTACTTTGACTTATAAGACAAGTACCGTGACTCATATAAGTACTGTGACTCACGCAACAAGTACAGTGATTCATACGGCAAGTACCGTGACTCACAGAACAAGTACTTTGACTTATAAGACAAGTACCGTGACTCATATAAGTACTGTGACTCACGCAACAAGTACAGTGATTCATACGACAAGTACTGTGACTTACACGATGTAAGGAAAGGGGGAGTATTTTGTTGCAAATATGTGAAATAATGGTTGGCTTGGAAGGGGGGATTACATTTCAAAACTCCCGCCAGTTCAGCAGCTCGTCTGCACATGCGCAGGAGTATAACTACAGTGGGAGAACGATTCTCTTTAAAAAAGATATAAACAAGTGCTTAAAATTGATAAAAAGAGACTATTCCAAGGAACTATTCTAAGTGTTTTCCACTGTGACTGGAAAACACGATGAAAATATCAAGTGGTAAATGTGTAAAACCAGTCTGAATAAAATATGAAATGACAAGGAATAAGATGTAGAACTAGAAAACATTGGAACGCTTGAGGAGAGGTTAGCGAACACTACCTGGTGTTCGGTCACTTTGTCGAGAGGCGCGGGCTGAAGCGTGGGGTCAAGTTGGACTGGTCATCAAACGTGATAATTACAGAGAACTAACTGGTGTTACGTGTGGTGCTATCATATAAACTAATTAGATATAGAATTGATTATTTACACGTCCCAGCGACGGGAGGCTATTGTGTTCAACTTCCTGCTTGTGTAGAATGTTTCACCTTCATGTTCCGTATCATTTTCACTTAGGTGTTGAAAGTTTCTCATCCACATTGTGTCATTTCCCGTGTAAAGTGAAGATAACTGTGGACCAGAGGGAAAGTAAGGTCACGCTTCAAGTGTAACAGATTAAACTATTAATAATTGATAATTATTAATAGATCTTTAGAGTTTAGAGTAAGTATAGTCTAAAGGTCTCAAGACCTTTAGAGTATACTTATTTGTTGATTAAGTCCAAGTTTTATGGATTTAATCTTTTCCTAAAATCCTCACTCAAAAGTGGTTACTGTCGATCTTGTATCTCTAAGATTATAATAAATTCGTGTGATTTTAGAAGCTTTTGTTTTTCCTAAGCCTTTTTACCCACTACATACCTTTTTTTTTAACTTGCAGCACGAGGTCTGTATAAGGTCTGTCCTGATGACAGACCTTATACAGAGACAGACCTGACGTATAGCACTTGAGTTCTGCAGTCTTCTGAACTCGACTTAACCATTTTTCACACACATTTGTAATAGATGAACACCGCCCCACGCTCCTGTGCCACGTAAGTCTACTACGGGCTCACCATAGCCTGTGCTACTTGGAACTTTTTTGTTCCTAGTAGCTGAATCTTAAGCAACAATAACAACAGTAAAGATGAATCTTTATAGCTCCTGTCCTTACAGCTACAAGTACTGTGACTGACACAACAAGTACTGTGCCTCACACAGCAAATACCGTGCCTCATAGAAGTCCTATAGAGCCTGTAGAACCCTCCCTAGCCCAGACCATCCTTCATAGCCCTGATAACCCACCTTATACCTGACAATCCTCCCTAGCCCTGACATCGCTTTCTAGCCTTTACAACTCTCCAAAGGCCTGAGAACCGTCCCTAGTTCAGCCAACTCTCTCTAGCCCTGATAACCTTCAATATTCCTGAGACTCCTACCTAGCCCTGACCCGTAATTAATTAAACCCATAATGCGTACGCTTCTGTCTAGGCAAACAGTTGCAGTTTTTCACGTACAAAGAGAGAGAGAGAGAGAGAGAGAGAGAGAGAGAGAGAGAGAGAGAGAGAGAGAGAGAGAGAGAGAGAGAGAGAGAGAGAGAGAGAGAGAGAGAGAGAGCCTTCATGCTCTCACAGCGGAGATAAGACGCATCAGGGAGGCTGTGTACAAGTCCATCTCCTTCGTTAGCAAGAAACTCCATCAGATGCAAACACTTGAAACATCTTTCACACAGAAATTACATCTTATTTTACTCTTGTTTCGTCCCAGAGTGTGGAGAGACATGGCTGGAGTATCTGACAGTAAACCAAGAGAAAATAAACCATATGTGGTTTAAAAATAAGTTTTTTTTTTCCCCTAGATTGGTCTCAAAAAAGAGTCTAGTTCCCGTCCTGCAGGAGCTGCTGGGTCCTCTGTTTATAAATAATAAAAAAAGATGGGCCATACCAGCCGTTGATATAAGGAAATCGTCAACGTATTAGATGCCTTACTCAGAAGAGGGATCTAAGAGTGCATTGTTTCACGTTTAGCGAAGCTTTGTTTTGGCTGCATGCTACTACAGTGTGTGTGTGTGTGTGTGTGTGTGTGTGTGTGTGTGTGTGTGTGTGTGTGTGTGTGTGTGTGTGTGTGTGTGTGTTATATAGTATAAAATTATACAGTCAAGTGTGAGAGTAGTGTCAGGGTGAGGTGCAGTGTCAGGGTGAAGTGTAGAGGGTCTGAGTCTGGGTATTATCAGATTCAACTGTGAGAGCAGTGTGAGGGTGATGTTGGGAGTGAGTATGGTGAGTTAAGACAGCAGTGTGAGGAGTAACGTGTGATGTATTGTGAGTGTGATGTGTAGTGTGACGCCGGGGTTAGCTCAGCTGGAATATGAGGGCACGTGAGTGAGGTCCAGGTGAGGGGGAGAGCATGAGGGTAGAGTGAGGGAGGGAAAATAGCAGGCATGGAGGGCAGGCAGGTGAGGGAAAGCTTACCGTGCGTGTAGAGAGAGGGCAGCTTACCTCTCTCGGTGCCCGTGGGCATCTCTGGGGCACTAACGGCACCGTCGCTCTCGTCCTCGCTCACCGCTGGGCCCCCGCGAGCCTCGAACCTCACATGGGAGGCTCCGCGGTGGCGGGAGGAGTGCCGGGGCAGGGAGTTGGAGCGGGCAGCGGCCGTGCCCCCGCCCGCCCCGGTGTGGTGGGCGCCCCTCGCCCGTGCCAGCAGCGACGACCTGGGCAAGGTCACCTCCGTGTCGCTGGCGTAGTCCACGGAGCGCGTCCTCTGCCGCAGGGCGCTCAAGCGGCGCATGGTTTCCTGGTAGCGCTCCAGTGTGGCCCGGTCCGTCACCTGGGCCCCCGACGGGTACTGGAGCGTGGCGGCCTTGTGGCGGCGGGCTGAGGGCCCCGTGCCCTCGTAGTCGCTAAGGCTTTCGCGCTCCGTTGCTGGCAGGCGCTGGTCGCTGAGGGTGCGGGCCAGCCTGGGCCGCCCCACGCTGCTGCGGCCCAGGGTCCCGTACATCGGTGGCTCCTGCGGCCGCATCTGGCGCCCCTGGGCTTGGCCCACCATGAGGGCCGGGTCCACCAGCTCCCCCGGCGGCGGCCCGTAGAAGGAGTGCACGCGTTCCGCCAGCGACTCCAGCGTCTTGGGATACGAGCGCTCGTAGGGCGTGAAGTGCTGCTGCTGCTGCGGTCGCGGCTGCTCGGTGATGACGGGCGGAGGCGGCTGGTAGTAACGCTCGATGTCCGAGCCCAGAGGCGCTCGGGGCGGGGGACCGTAAGGCTGGATCGCGGCTCCGGGCAGCCCCGTCTGGCGGGAACTCCTAGGCTGGTACCCTGGATGGGTGGCGTGCGGGCCAATGGGGCCCCCAATAATCCCAGGAGGGCCACCAGGGGGCGCAGGCTGCGGCACGCCAAAAGGCCCCTTACCCGGCATTCCCCGGGTGCTGTAGTAGATCAGCGGCTCCTCGTGGCGGAGTGCTGACATGGTCTCCGGCGGGCGGTACCTGGGCAGTGTGCTGAATCTGGATTCCTGAGTTTGAGGCACTCCTGGAGGCGGCCGGGAGGGCGGCGGCGGCGGCCGGCCCATGGCACCGAAGCGCAGCGTGTCCCCGTTGCTGTTGGAATCTTCCAGCGGCTCTTCTTCATACTCCTTCTTGATGACCACGACGGGAGGAGGCTTGGGCTCGTGTCTGGGCTGGGGGGAAGGCGGCGCCCCACGACCCCCGCGACGCGACCTGGTCGTCAGCAGGAGTCGTCGCGGGATGCTCATGATGATAACCACGTCGTCCAGACCCATGCGCGTCACGTCGACCAGGTTCACCGCCAGGATCTCGTCGCCCACCCGCAGGCAGCCGGAGTTGTAGACCGGCGACTCGAGGGCGATGCGGGAGATGAAGACGCCCTCCACCCGGTCGGCGCCGTTGCCCTCGCGGATGTACAGGCCCAGCGTCTGCCCCGGCCGCTTCACGATCTCCACCATCTGCACGCTGAACTTGGTGCTCTGTCGACACAAACACACACTCAGTCAAACTGAACACACTCAAAGTCATAAGTCTAGTGTGTGCCAAGTCTAAACTTGTCATCACTTTGATTCTAACTGGTTTCAAATAGCCAAGCTAGTAACAGAGTCGGTCTGGAGCCACTCCAGACCGACAACCAGAGCGCAACTCCATAGTCTCCTGAGACTGATGGATGCCTACTGCTACTACTGTTGACAAGATGTAAGTCAATGATCATGTTCCTTCGAATAGTGAAAACAATTTCTAGAAGCGTTAGCCAAAAAAAGACAATATTCTCTTTAGTTTTATGTTGCTCTTGTAGAGCCTTGTCTAGACCAAGGAGCTCAGCTTTGGTCTGCGCACTCTGACGTTGGACATACTGTCACCCGACGCCAGCAGACAAGGATGCCAAAGGTAATGACAGAGTTAATCCCAAGAATTAGAAATCTTCTTTAGGAAGAACAATTAAAAAGTCTGATTTACATTCTCTAGCAAGGAAAATGATGGGAGGGGGGGGGGGAGATATGAAGGACATAATTGGATAACAGGGTTTAATAGAGGAGATATAAACACCGTTGATATATATATATATATATATATATATATATATATATATATATATATATATATATATATATATATATATATAATATCAACACAACACAGGAAACAACGAAAACAAATTGGATAAGTTTATATTCAGGAAAGACCTGGGTAAATACAGGTTTGGAAACAGGGTTGATGATTTATGGAATAAATTACCGGTTAACGCAGCAGGGAGGAACGCCTGATTGTTGCAAGCGTGAGATAGATATGTATGAAAGGGATTGGCCGGATATATAAAGAGGATCAGTTGCATTTGGGCCTCTTGGGCCTCTGCAGTATATTATACTCTTCTGTTGTAATTTCTTAGACTTGTCTTTTCTTGGGGGGGGGGGGGAAGGGGAAAGGAGAAAGCGCCAAGCCATCACGACTACCTGGCACTAGGAAGGGGGTCAGAATATAGATTTAGGATGGGACGGAGGAGGGAAGGAATGGTCCTGAGGTCGACACCTCTGACTGAGGTTGACGCCTCTTACTCAGGTCGACGTCTCTGACTGAGATTGACGCCTCTGTCTGAGGTCGACGCCGCTGACTCAGGTCGACGCCGCTGACTATGGTCGACGCCGCTGACTCAGGTCGACGCCGCTGACTCAGGTCGACGCTGCTGACTCAGGTCGACGCCGCTGACTCAGGTCGACGCCTCTGACTCAGGTCGACGCCTCTGACTCAGGTCGACGTCTCTTACTGAGATCAACGCCTCTGACTGATTTAGAATTGGGTGTCAGCGGTGATGGTAGTGAGGGGGGGGGGATAAGTGAGTGAGTAGAATAGGTCGTAACAGCCAGAGAGAGAGAGAGAGAGAGAGAGAGAGAGAGAGAGAGAGAGAGAGAGAGAGAGAGAGAGAGAGAGAGAGAGAGAGAGAGAGAGAGAGAGAGAGAGAGAGAGAATAGGTACCTGGGCGGTGAGGAAGCGCTTGGCCTGGTCGTAGGCCTGGCGGCTGAGGGAGCGGGGGTCCAGGAGTCGTACCACCATTTCGCCGCGTCGCTCCACCACGTCCAGGGCGGCCGCCGTGGACGCGTCGTGGTCATTCTCAACCGTCTCAATCTGTCTGAAGATCTCCGTACTGATGCCGCTCACCTGAGGACAGGAGCTGGGCTTAGTCCGGGGGTGTGTATGAGCGCCCGGCTCATACACACTGGCTTGGGAGGATAGTCGTGTGGATATACTCAGTCTAGGGAGGATTGTCGTGTGGGTATACTCAGTCTAGGGAGGATTGTCGTGTGGGTATACTCAGTCTAGGGAGGATTGTCGTGTGGGTATACTCAGTCTAGGGAGGATTGTCGTGTGGGTATACTCAGCCTAAGGAGGATAGTCGTGTGGGTATACTCAGCCTAAGGAGGATAGTCGTGTGGGTATACTCAGCCTAGGGAGGATTGTCGTGTGAGTATACTCATCCTAGGGAGGATTGTCGTGTGGGTATACTCAGCCTAGGGAGGATTGTCGTGTGGGTATACTCAGCCTAGGGAGGATTGTCGTGTGGGTATACTCAGCCTAGGGAGGATTGTCGTGTGGGTATACTCAGCCTAGGTAGGATTGTCGTGTGAGTATACTCAGCCTAGGGAGGTTTGTCGTGTGGGTATACTCAGCCTTGGGAGGATTGTCGTGTGGGTATACTCAGCCTAGGGAGGATTGTCGTGTGGGTATACTCAGCCTAGGGAGGATTGTCGTGTGGGTATACTCAGCCTAGGGAGGATTGTCGTGTGGGTATACTCAGACTAGGGAGGATTGTCGTGTGAGTATACTCAGCCTAGGGAGGATTGTCGTGTGGGTATACTCAGCCTAAGGAGGATAGTCGTGTGGGTATACTCAGCCTAAGGAGGATAGTCGTGTGGGTATACTCAGCCTAAGGAGGATTGTCGTGTGGGTATACTTAGACTAGGGAGGATTGTCGTGTGGGTATACTCAGTCTAGGGAGGATTGTCGTGTGGGTATACTCAGCCTAAGGAGGATAGTCGTGTGGGTATACTCAGCCTAAGGAGGATAGTCGTGTGGGTATACTCAGCCTAAGGAGGATAGTCGTGTGGGTATACTCAGCCTAAGGAGGATAGTCGTGTGGGTATACTCAGCCTAGGGAGGATTGTCGTGTGGGTATACTCATCCTAGGGAGGATAGTCGTGTGGGTATCGTGTGGTATACTCAGCCTAAGGAGGATAGTCGTGTGGGTATACTCAGCCTAGGGAGGATTGTCGTGTGGGTATACTCAGCCTAGGGAGGATTGTCGTGTGGGTATACTCAGCCTAAGGAGGATAGTCGTGTGGGTATACTCAGTCTCGGAGAGGAAAATTATATGAGTATACACACAAAGAAAAAATCCACAATAATAACAATATATCAATATAATTATACATTATACATACAGTTATAAACAATGCACAAGCTATTCAAAATACAGCTGTATGAGACCAAGGAAAACTATCACTGCAACACTGAAAACCATCACTGCAACACTGAAAACCATCACTGCAACACTGAAAACCATCACTACAACACTAAAAACCATCACTGCAACACTGAAAATCATCACTGCAACACTGAAAACCATCAGTGCAACACTGAAAGCCATCACTGCAACACTAAAAACCATCACGGCAACACTGAAAACCATCACTGCAACACTGAAAACCATCACTGCAACACTGAAAACCATCACTGCAACACTGAAAACCATCACTGCAACACTGAAAACCATCACTGCAACACTGAAAACCATCACTGCAACACTGAAAACCATCACTGCAACACTGAAAACCATCACTGCAACACTGAAAACCATCACTGCAACACTGAAAAATCACATCACTGCAACACTGAAAACCATCACTGCAACTGCAACACTGAAAACCATCACTGCAACACTGCAACAACCATCACTGCAACACTGAAAATCCATCACTGCAACTGCACACTGAAAACCACTCACTGCAACACTGAAAACCATCACTGCAACACTACTGACTGCAACACTGACCATCACTGAAAACCAACACTGAAAACCAACACTCACACTGCAACACTGAAAACCATCACTGCAACACAAAAAACCACGGCAACACTGACAACGGTGCCCCTGAACCTCCCCCACCTCCCCTTGGATCATAGGGGGATCGAACACCGACCTTGCAAGTAACGAGGCTGTCGTTGTACCGGCCAGCCAGTCCAGGTGTGAAAAATGCAGCTTAAATAAATCCACGACGCGGCCAGGTAATAAGAGGTAATTAACACACCACAGAACACCTGCAGATAATTAAAACACCACAAAACGTGTTTTTGTTCTCTGTCCATATATATATATATATATATATATATATATATATATATATATATAATATATATATATATATATATATATATATGCTAATTATATGTAAAAACTGAGTCATAATAATTATATATTTTTTTAAAGTTAGTTGAATGTTTTATACTTGATTTCATTTTAGATTGGTCTGGAGCTGGAAGAAATGATTTCTTTCAGTAGATACCACTTCTAAATATGATGCCTGTCTTGCCTTGTCTGAACTTTTTCGTTATTATTCTGCACTTTCCACACAATAATTATATATATATATATATATATATA